AATCCGATCAGGTTGATACACCTGTCTAATCAAGTGTTCTCCTGTACCAACCCATTCTGCTTGTTCTGTATTTTTATTTTTCCCCCTCCATCACATTTATTCTGTTTTAAGTGACTGATGGGAATGAAAGCCATGTAACTAGTACTTCAGTTTAAAAAGCTGTTCACCACAAGAAGAAATATTGAGTAAGACCACATTTCGCAATTTAGTTTATATATTGAGTACTATACTTTATGACATTAAGCAAGGTCAAGGATTAGCTATGTAATCACTTACATAACTTAATTAATTGTCACTGACAGTTATGTGTTGGTATTGATGTGCCTGCAAGTGGAACCGATTATGTAAAGACTCACATATTACACTCACATAAAGTCAAATGTTAAGAGTTTAACTCAATCCATGCTAGAATGAATTGTGTTTGTAGTCCGTTGCACAACCTTTGACCTTAGAAAATTGTTCTGCCTACAATAAAGATGATAAGAGGAGATAACATGACAAGAAAACAAAACTGAAAAGAGACTTACATTGCCCATATACTCAGACAGAAGGTCCTGGAGAGCCTGGCGCACAGAATTGCATTCGGCCACAATGCGCTCCCTGCGGTCATCACGTGTGCATGAAGAGTCAGCCATGAGGGCAGCACCACTGATGATGCTCTCAAGGCGCTCCTCCAGGGAAGGGCGGAAGCGCTCCTCGCTGAACGCCAGGGGGTCCACAATGATTTGTTTCTGTAAAGAAAGGGTCAGAGGGAAAATTACACAGGGAGCAAAAAATGCACATAGTCACCATGGTACACTGATCTCTCCTTCACAAAGCCCAGAGTAACAAGAAAGGAAATGACTGACTCAGAGGTGAGGTGGAAAACCAGAAGGGAGGAAAGTGCCATGTTGTCTTTTTTTTTTTTGTCTCTGTACACCCCGAACAACAACTTCCTTTTTTAGCATCTTTCAATGGCAGTGTTACAAAGTGCTTTCCACATAGCAAAGAATAAAACAGATGTGTCCAACCAGTAAAGGTAAAGTTCATGGAATGTGTGTAGTGATTAAATTCCTCTATCTACACCAATTTACGCCAGTATGCCCCACAACGCCAAATTCTATCCCGACTTTATGGCTTGAATAATGGCCACAAAAGTGTTTTTGCAGAACATTATGAGCTAATAATATTTTTATGTTAAGCTCTTATATCTGGCTGAAGCCTGTTGAGTGACTTTTGATTTACACCTGACACAAGTTCACTTTAGTGGTCCCTGTTAAGGTGTTTACAGTTCAAAAAAGGAAACTGGTCAAATATTTTTTAATGATTTAATATATTTTTTACCTTGGGGTAAAGAAGGATGCAGTCTCCAATTGAACAAATACAAACCAGCGAGTATATACAAAGCTGCATCTACTCGCTGAGCAAAATTCAAATCTCTTCATCACGACCCACTCTATAAGATGCTGAAATAAATTAATGTAAACTGAAAACAGAGCAGTTTCCAGCAGTAATACAATAAGAGGCCTGGTGTGACTGAGGCTTTTTATAGAGCTTGTCTGGAACTGTTGTTATCTGAGTGTATCCAGAAATTGTAATGAGACTGGCATTTCTAAGATTTTGGCAACGGGTGGTTATTTGTAAAATGGTCTGTAGTCCATGAAAGCATGGCTAAGTTTTTGGGAGTTTTTTCTTCACTGACAGTCCACCCTCCTGCATTGTCTCTCAAACTCAAAGATGGTTTATTTTTGTTGTGGTGGAAGGGCAGCAGTACCAAAGGTAACGTTAAAGCCACAAAAGGCAAAACCCTGTATTAAACTTCAGAAATTGTAAAACAAATCTTCTGGGTTAATTGATGATCCGGGACATAAAGTGAAAGTAACTTTTGCTGTCAATTTAAATACACTGCTTCAAGTTGAGCAGGTAATAATGATAAAGTCTAATATACATTCTCTCTCCAAAGCAACATGTCCGGGTTTAAAATGGTCCTACCACAAATGGTGAAGAAAATAAATTCTCAGAAAAGTTAATTAGAACTTCTTCCAAGTTTACACTTTTTAAAGGCCACAC